ATAAGATACCAGCGTACATAAGCCGTACATAAGATACCAGCAAAGTCTACAGGATGAGGCGATGGTCCTATAGCCTATTCCTTTTCCTTCTTTATTTCGGAGCGTGTATTATTTATTTATTATATCAATTATTCATGATGGCTTAGACCCAGACATGGATCATGTTACATATTTTTGGAAAAAAAAATCTTCAATCAATCTAAACTATAATCTAAATCACGACACGTTTCAAAGTATTCTTAAAATCAACGAAAACGTGAAGTCACGGACAGACGGACGGACAGACTGACGGACGGACATGGCGAGCACAATAGCGCCTTTTTTCCATAAATGAAAATGCCCTAAAAAATATCGTAACGCTGGTCATATGGATATAAATTGGAAAGGAATTGAGCTTAAATTACGAAAATTTTCGTGCATTTTGTCGCTGATTTGATTATATTGAATAATAGTAGTAAGTAAAAGTGACAGAAGGGATGTCGATAACTTCTTGGACATCTTGGCGAGTCTTTTCTAAAGAAATTTTGAACATTTTAAAGAAAATTGTCTTGTTTTTTGACGGATTAATCAAATCTTCAATCAAATAACCGACTTCATGTTGGAAGTTCATTACTCCCAAGGGCTCTCATCTTTAGTTCCAAAGCAAGTTTTATAATCTGAGGATAGCGTTTTGCAAAAGTAAATGCAAATTTTAGAAAAGTAATCACGAATAACAGATTTTGGCTCAATTTAAGTGAAATTATCATCACAAAACGAAAATAGATTATTCAAATAATCAATCATTTTGATAGACCCCTTTAAAAATGTAGGTAAAATGCCGTAACATAAAATTTTTAATCTATTCACATTCAAGGGATTATGTCGAGTGAAATTCAAAAAGGACAAATATTTTACTGAAACAAGTTTTAGCTAATTAGCTAAAGTTATAGCTTATTATCTTGTAACGATTATTATCAATTATTTCAGAGCTTCATTTTGAAATAGTAGTTCAGAAGTACGGGATAATTAAAATACGAATTTGCATCTAAATGACTGCCGAAAAATGCCTGGATGATATCAAATAATTAGAATTTTAATATTATAATTTAATATTGAAACATATTAGCCACGAGAGCGGGGAGCACGCCACAACCTCGGAGGCAATTATTTGATGTTTTCATCGAATGAAACATTCTTCTAGAGGGTTAATTATACCGCGATCATTTTGTTTGACATTAAAATTTATTTCAACAAAAATCTACTTTCAAACGCACAATTAATTGCTACGTAACTTCTTTAAAAATCTAAACAATTTAATTTCTTCTTGGCGTTGCGCTTTAACCGCTATCGGGGAATAAGTGCCAGTCAAGCCAACTCGATGCAATATGGAGGTACCTTTATGACAAATAGCTTTACATTCATACTAGTCAGTATGGCCAGGCGTAGGCTGTGCTTGATAATTCCTGCATTTACTTAGAAGATATTTTCAAGCAAAAATTGTAGGCCACTATCTAGTGTGGCTTCAACCAAGAGAAATGCTGCGACAAAACATTTTAGTAGAGCCGAGCTTCAAATTTTCAATGACAAAAATAAGTAAAGAACTTTCAAGCAGACCCTCAACTTTAACATTTCTTTACTGCATATTTGACTCATCGACTCACATTAAATTAGACTTTCATCCCTAAGAAAAATGAATTCGTTTAGGTTTACTGACAGCATCTGAATAATATTCTCTTAATATTAGAAATTACCAGACAATGAATGAAATTTTACTTATTTGGGAGCGGGAACATAAGATTATTATCATTATCGATTATATTACACCTGCCCTTAAAAATATCAATATGATATTGAAAAATATAATATATATAATATAAAATTTTACGAAAATGTCGATAGAAGACTGTTTTTATTTTTATATGCAAATTCGAACAGGTTGGTGCAAGGTGTAGCATATAACGTTTCCTGTATTCTTAATAACTAGCCGCTAAGAAGAAGCACGTTTTAGAAGTCGTGCTCCGTACGCCTTCTTTCATGTTCATTATGTTGGTTCCAATAAAACCTGTTCCGTGCTGCCGTGTTCTTCCCACCTTTCACGCGCGTAACTTCATACATTACACAAGGCTCGATGGATTTGATAGTTTGTGTGAAACAGAGACAAAATTTAAGCATATTTCAGTCAAGTTTAATTGAGCAACCACACTAATTTTTGTAGAAGCGATCAAACAGTTGAGGAAGTTGGTTTTCAAGCCCACTTGAGGCTCAAAAATCACAATTGAGCACCTAGACAAAGAAATCTGTTTTCTGATATATCATTATTTTTAGCGCATTTTCTCATTTATGGAAAAAAGGCATTATTGTGCTCGCCATGTCCGTCTGTCCGTCCGTCTCTCTGTCTGTCCGTCCGTGACTCCACGTTTTCGTCGACGAGAAAATGAGCTTTCTGTCACTCACTGCAGTGAGTACTGAGTTCTATTTTTTCTTTTTGGGTAATGAATTCATTGTTTTCTCATGCATATTTTACTGTTAAATTTTAATGCTCGTGATTAAAATTGCTTTAAAAACAAGCTAGAGATAAAAGAGTCGCTTAAACTACCACGAGAATGTAATACTTCAATCAATAACTGCCTTAAAACCGGGGTATTTAAAGGAGGTCAGAAGCGTCATTACTCTATTATTTTATTTTACTCATGGATCTCATTAATGATTGATTATTATACATCCTGCGCTCGTCACTGCTTGATTTCGGTCAAGTTTGGTCCCTCATCAATGCTCTGCTTCTTTTGTAGAGGGTAATACCTTAGCACGCTTTCTTCTGTTCTCCTCTGCCCATTTGGTGTAGAAATACATTTATCACTTGTTAGCGTAGTTTTTGCAGGAGCTTCCTCACGGATTCATTTTATTTGTAGCCCTTATACCTACTATCATATGGCACTTTATGCTCTCAAGCGTGAGCATGAGTTGTATTTCCAAAAGTACTATACAGGGTCCGCTATATTTATGGCAACACATTTTTATATTTCTCAAGGAAAATATTTTATCTGTGCATATTTTCTCAATGACGCAAACAGGTAAATGAATTTTTTATTGAATGAGCTAATAGCCAAAAACTACCTATACAATTCTCAAACGTATTTGTTCAATATGACCACCATTATTTTTAACAATGGCCTCCAACCTACCCTGGAAAGCTTCACAGGAGACTCGCAGCATTTCTTGATGGATCAAGTACCATTTTCGTTTCAATTTAGACTTCAAACTATCCAAAGAACCATGAGGTGTTGTGCAGGCCCTACTCTCTAAAAAAGCCTACACAGAAAAGTCGAGAGGATTCAAATCAGGGCTTCTTGAGGGCCATTCATTTTTGCTATAATGAACGCTGGGATGTGACCCTGAATCCAGTTGTGGGTCATGTTTGAACGATGCGATGGGGCTGAGTCTTGTTGAAAACTCCATGGTGAGCCGTTGAAGTGTTTAGGGCAATATAAGGTAACAACTTAGCTTTCAAAATGTCTGAAATGTATCGCTGACTGTTTAATTTCACTTCTGACGGGACACAAACGAGGGGAGACCTCCCAGTGGCGGTTACCGCGGCCCACGGACATAGGATTTTGACCTCTCGTTATTGCTCTGGTTGCCACAGATTCGTCCCGACTCCAAACTCTGTCATTTTGACGGTTAACGCTTTGTTCAACGTAAAATTTCTTCTCGTTACTGAACATCAAATCGGGCAGCATGCCATCCTCTATCAGTGAGACTCAGAATGTGCAGGAATCTTTCGAGTCTCATTCCATCATGACAATCTGTTAGTCCATGGTGGTCATATTGAATAAATACGTTTGAGAATTGTTTAAATAGTTCTAGGCTATTAGCTCATGCAATAAAAAATTAATTCACCTTTTTGTTTCATTGAGAAATAAGAAAAAAATTTGTTGGCATATATAAGGCGGACCCTGTATATTGTAATACAGCGTAGGAAGGTCCTTCTGTCATCCACCAATGTAGTGTGGCGGGCCTTTCATAACGTAGAAATGTGTTTCAAATAAAACTCGAAAATTAATATTCTTCAGATGAAAGCTGTAAAGGCTGCATAGATTGTTTCAGGTATCAAAGAGAACAAACTGTCTCTATTCGAACCCACTCTAAAAATTTGTTAAGCAAAACTATTCGGCAATGGTGTTGAAATTCACATTCAAAGCCGTTCACATGTCATTATTGCCGTCAACTGTTTCTTTCGCTCGTAATACCGACCAAAGACTAGAAATTTTGATGTCTTATTTATAAATCTTACTCGACATTGAAATAACTTCAAGGCTCGCTAACTACAAATTTGCCTGTTATCGGCAATTACGTTGTTGGCAAATCGCGGTTATGCAGTACATTTGTTTACGAAATTTGTGGTAGTCATTTTTCGAAACCACGAGAATAAACCAATCGCAAATAATTCTTTTAAGGGTTGTTGAAGTTATCTAAGATCTCCTTGTCGGGACAGTTCTTCTCCATCCAAACTTTGAATCGCTCCTGCTGTTTCTCCGACAATACTTCCTTCCATCCGCCAGACGATCCTGCAATTAAACAGAATTTAAAAACTTATGCTCATACTTTATCTACAATCATAGCATATTTTCTTATATGAAAGAAGACATGATGTGATCAACTGAGCATTCCATAAATTAAAATTTAAATGCAAGAAAAGATTAATTTAATTCACAATAAAATTTGAAACCTGATTTCCACTCACTTATTTCAAACCATTCATTCTCAAATCAGGAATTGTAATTATTCGTTAAAAAATACCACAAAAATCCATCACATCTCTATTGGCATCGTTGCAGTTCACTTTCAATTCCACCCACATTTCTAAAATCCTAGAATACAAGTACTTTCAGTCAACAAAACTGAAGCTCAGTGAATATGTCAACACCATGAGAACATATTTGACCAATAAAATACATGACCGCGGGAAATGACCGCTGGCAAACATACTTTTTAATTTACATTTGCTTGTGGATAAGAGGTATAGGCAGCATTCAAACTAGGGTTCTATATTTAATCTCTGAAGCTGAAATTTCTGATAGGAGATATAAAATTTTGAGGGTTAAAATAAAAAGAATACCGGGACGTTGCACCGCTCAGCGTGAAGACGTATAGATCCGAAAGAACGTGCTAGTATATATATACATCTATAGGTGTCTATTTCTATGATTTCTCACTTGGTCTAAGTGTACAACGAAGTTGTTCCCGAGCGTGATAATCAGAACTTTGTTTATTATTCTTCCCCATATTTTGGTCCTTCCTCTGAGACTATGTAAAATGAATTAAGTTATAATCATAAATATAACTTGTGAATATAACTATATATTGTTAAATCATAAATCACCATGCAGAATACTACCCGAATCTAGTGATGGTTATGATATTGAGATCACTGGAAATTGTTCGGTCTAATGATTGTCAAGACTAACACTGGACATTCAAGCTCGCATTGCCACATCAACTCACCATAAGACCTTAAAGTCCCCCAAGATGCCTCGTACCCAGAGTTATTTCAGGGACACCAACCCAAGGCCATGCTGGAAGCACCACCTTCGACGGCTACCATGCGCCGCCCCCCAGCGACCTTAAGAAATAAACTGAGCTTCCCAAGACTAGAACCCACGGATAAATCCTGTCATCTCGGTGCCGCCATTACTGCGCGTACAAGCATTGCCACTAACCACTGCGCTACAGTAGCGCTAACCACTGCGCTACAGTGGCGCTAACCACTGCGATACAGTGAAGCTAACCACTGCACTACAGTGACGCTAACCACTGCGCTACAATGGCGCTAACCACTGCGCTACAGTGATCCACTGCGCTAGTTGCACTCGCCTGATCTGAAGAAGCCGCCTTCCGCTTTGGCAATCAGCAGGTCAAAGAAGATCGCCTCATCGCCTTTATTGATGACGTGGTCGTCGCGCTTCTTCATTTCCGGGAAACTCGTGTGGTGAACAATCTGGATGTGAAAAAGATTATGAACGGTAATGTTTGATTAACAGACGAACTAATGGACATGAATATGCGGAGGTTGACACTTATATGATAGCAAATAAACACATCACTTTTTCCAATCTGTTTTGTTAAAATCGTATCAAGAGGCAAATACATTTCCATGTATAGGGCTTCTGTTAGAACTTGACTAATTTATAGTGTATAGGGAATGCAGGTTCGTAGCTTAAAATCAACACATGCTATTACATACCAACTATATTAAAATCCAACTAAGTATTACAAATCCACATTACCACATAATTCATAATTGATAGGGTAATTAAGCTGCATAAACTCGGAGCCTGTACGTCGAATAGGCTCCAACAGTATTCATATCTCTAAAAACACTATTTAATATCAGACATATTCTATATGATAATAAATTCATGGTCAGAAAATAGCCAAAACGTTTGGAACGAATTATCAATTCCCTGCACTAATGTAGTCGTAATTCGCTTAATTGTTGGTTGTCTTTAGTTAAATTCAGAATATTGCAAGTCATCTTCAGTCATGATATGTTATTTAAATGACCACATATAGTAAATTCTAGCTAGAAAATGTATTGTTCGTTTATTTGTGTAGCTGCCGCCATGAAATGATTATAAATTTTAAGATGAGGTCCTTGAGCTTCAAAATTCCTTTTTACGGCTTCGTACTATTTGGAATCTCAGAATATCATGAGTGTTATTTTTTTCAATATTCATGGTATCTTATCTTGTCACCAGAAAAGCATGAAAAATTTGAGAGCGAAGATCGTTGGGAATAAAATATTCTAATATTCTTTTAACAATATACCGCACTGTTGTTGAAAATCTGGATTTTTCCACTTTTAACTGCTGTATAAACTTTATTTAGTGTTCCCGGCTGATTTCTTTTGCTGAAGCTGGAGATGGATGGATTCTAACACGCATCGCTAATACATCTTTAACTGCAAAAATAATCGCTGATTTTAAATTCATCCCTAAAAATTGTGAGCCCACGATCAATCAATGAAAAGGCTGTTATGAAAGTTCACTGAATTTACATGTTGACGATTTTAAAGCAGCACTCTGCTTTGACTTGGGTACTTTTTGAACTTTCTTGTGTTCTGAAACGTTAAATAAGTCCATGTACAGTACATTAATGCGTGATAGAAAATACTATAATATTCAGTACGTGCTCTAAGATTTGAGATGTCATGTATAGATGGTAGGATAGCGGGCCTCCAATAGCTAATGCTAATCGATTTCCTTCGTAATTGCGATAAGTTTAGAAAGTGGAACACTCGAAACTGTCCATCAGAACCATGCACACCGTCATTCAGACTTGATGAGAGTAGGAATTACGATTTAATTAGGATGTGATTTGTGAGAGAATGCGAATAGCAAGATTTAAAGCGAAGCGGTTGTCCCTGTTGATGGGAAAAACCTTGGGTCGTTTAGGGTATAATCAAGCGACGCGCTACGTGGGTTGCGAACCGGACTATAAAAGGAGTCGGTCGCGATAAAGAGTCAGTCCAGTCTAGAGTCGAGTCTCGTGCGGGGATATCGAGCGAGCATGCCAGTCGAGTGTGTGGTCGGCATATTGTGAGGTGATTAAGACGTGGTTTAGGCGCAGAAGGACGGTGGTACGGCAGTTTCACTGCTCAACGGAACGACCGCGTTTATCTACCACATTCAAAAGACGGCCGAGAAGATTGGGAGACGCTGAAAGCAGATCGCGGAAACTACAACGTGACCGATTCAAGTTTAACGACGTTCCAGACGGCTTGCGTTGATCAACAAATGATGAGAGAACTACTCGACAGTCCACGTTCCAGCTTCGTTTCGACTTAGCCGTTTTTTCGGATCACCAGTTCCGGGATTTGGCTCCACCGAAGGTCGAGAGTCAGAACTTCAGAAGCATCAAGTACACCATCGAGGAGACGCCAACACTTGGTCTCACTACGGCCAATACGAGGATACACATACGGATCCACTAATACCTACAGCGAAACAAGTAACAGAGAAGTCTACCAGCCCACGTCTCCGTCCCGAAGCCCGGTGAAGTACCCGTTTGGAATTTAATGGAGGCAGAGCTGTTATTTGCTTAAGATTTGTGTCTAATTATGTTTATTGATCAATTTTATAAGTGACGATAATCCGTGTTACTGACCAGAATGCTGTTTAATTCATGTACCTCAGTACTTAGGCCTCTAGATGATTTATTACGCCCGTGAAGTAGATGTCGTACGTATCGGTGATACAGCTCTGTAATAGGCATCTGATTTTCTCCATAATATAGGAAGCCTAATATTTCATTGTGTTGTTATTCTTTCTTTTGTTGATTCGTGACTGCTGGGTCGAGAACTTGTGTATGCGCCTAAATTGTAACAACTGTGACCAAACCAACCTGACAAACCTATCGAGTTACTCGGGGGCGCAGCCGTAGTCCACAAATTTTACTCTTAAAATAAGCCCTGGAGCTAACGCCTAGCTTCACCATGCATTAACTTTACTCAGCCTCAGACTAGAAGTCGCAGACTACGCTTGAACTCCGTAATCCAAACAAGCGACGCACTGCAGAAAGATAATAGCGCCGTTGGTCTTCAGCCAATGCTTAAGCATGCTCGCTCATAAGCAGGCAGTTCGCCATCCGGCTGTACCCACTCCGGCCTAACCTATTCACGCTGTCCCGGCTCACAACCTTCTTGCAGCCAATGACTAGCTCTACCAGTACACTTGGACCGCCTTTCTCACTTCCTGCAGCCAATGAGTTTAGGTTAGGTCCGCTCAGGTTTGTTTTGGAAGGAGAAAGGTTGCAGCACGTATAGATTAGGCCAGAAGAGGTTTGGCCACACGCAGTATGGCCATATTTACCTTTGGCAAGCTTATTTTGTGGCTGTGGACATCCGGTGCTATCTATGGCTTTGTGCACTTGACTTCATAGGCCGTTGTGCACTCGACTTCATAGGCCGTTATGCACTCAATGAGTTCTTACCTATGGAAAGGAATATGAACTAAGTGTGAAGTTTGGCAAAGCTGGCCTCCGGCATGCGCCCCGAGTTACTCTAGAGAGAAAGATCGAAATAATTCAACAAACGGCAAAATCCCCGTCTCTCTTTAACTACGCATCAAAACTTCTATCAGACTCATGTTTTAAAATATCTTTGTGGTGAAAGGGTGCAGAGCTTTAGCTTAACTTGAATGGTATTCATGATTAGGAATACCTCTGCCCACCTTGTCAATTTGTTCCTCGTTCAGGTCGACACCCAGAAACTTGCTGAGCTTCGTGAACTCCGCCTTGGGATTTTTCTTCATCTTCTCGTAGAAGAGGACGAGCATGTTGGGCAGGTGGCGACGGTCCCAAGCTGCCTTCACGTGTTCTCAGTACGGCCCGTATGTCACTGCCGACAAAACGGGGACATATTTAAACTGTAACACAGACAATTATTGACCTGCGTTGGTATGATTGTTTATATAATAACCATTCATTTAAATAGTTTGAATTGAGCAAAAATAGGGGACTATATAAGCTTCCATCATTATGTTTTTGCAGATAATTAACAATTGTATTAAATATTTTGTGAAGTGATTCAAATCCTGCGCTTTTTTCCTTGAAAATGTTTTCTCATCATCACACGTTGTACTTCTTACACCAGTTGACTAGGCGCACACTTCGTCCATGAAACAACAGTACCGTGGCTGAACATCTTTGTGATCCATTGAATTGTTATCGACGTGCATATTAGTCCACTGGCCACATTTTATTTATTGTTACTTTTGAAAATTGCTGAAAATTACATTTGGGCCGTTCTTGAAGGAGCCAAATGGTTTTTGTCTCGCATTGCCACTCTGATCATAGTGCTGTTATTTAAATATAACCAAAATTTAGGTAAAACCCATTCCAGAATGCAGTCACCAATCAGTTACTGCAACCGACATTTTGTTACAAATTCCTTATAGGTCGAGACGGGTTTACTTTTTGTTTTGGATTCAATCGAAGTTCGATTGCATCCTGACGGCGTTTCCATTGAGAGGCAGATAATACCTGCGATATGAGACCTCTCTTCCCAACCGCCAACAGTGTGCTTGATAATTTTTCAAGCCACAACGATGCAATTTAGAGATTTTTTCAAATCCAATTAAACGATTAATTCTTCAAATCCTGCATGGCTTTGTAAATTAAATGAAATTATTTTAATTTTCAAAAAAACGAGAAAATTTACATAGATCAAGTAAGCTGAAAGTGAAATGAAGCATGTGTATTAAATTCAACTAAACTTTCGCTATGACCTCCAATAGGTCAATTAAAAATCAAATTCTGGATCCAGGTAACGTCCCGAAAACGATAGGTATCGTGGATACGCAGCTAAATAGCGCCAAAATATTTCCAATTCCAGGCTTCAAAGCATAATTTTTCGGTAATGTTATTATATATTAATGCAAATTTTTGTTCTCGACAGCGACATATTTTAATCAATTTGAAACATTCAGATTATACGAAATCTCTGGTCTTTATCTGCAGACTTCGTATGATCAGGCATTTTATGTGGAAATTGCTCACAACGTGCATGTTATTTAGTAAATATAAATTAATAAAAGGGATTTACCTGAGTCTTCGAGGAAGGCATCGACGTATTGATCGAGGGTTCCAGTGAAACCTTCGTACTTGAAGAGGCGTGAGTGATGGTGATACGAGAGGCAGAGGTCTCGAGGGTCGCGGATATAGTGTACACAACCTGAAATAGAATAATTAAACCGGTCTTGAGAAGGAACAGTGTTTGAGAAAATTATTACTAATAATAATTATTATTTAATTATTATTACACACACAATTATACCGCGGCTTTCGTATTTGCTCGACTCTCCATGCCATGCATTCTTAATTAAAATTTATGCACAATATCTTCTAGCTTAATAGATTTCCTTCTGGCTCGGTGTTTACCCAAATTAAGAAATTCGTGTCTAAGCGATACAGTGAAGTTGTTCCAGAGCCTGATAATAGAAACGTTGTTTACTCTTCTCTACCATACTTCGGCCATGCGTCCGAAGCTACGTGCATGTCAAGAGAATTAAAAGATTCGTTTATGAAATACTTTCCGAACATTATTCTTCAAATCTTACTGGTGAATAATTTTAAAATAGGCTCGTTTTTAGGTGCAAAGATTTCTTCCTTTCTCACATGCGATCGTCCCTAGTTTATAAATTTAGTTGCGCACCTTGTGCATCTGCGCACGTTGGAATGACGTCACGCAACCTGAACTCTAGGGTCGCTGAGCATAGAGGGAGGAGTTTAGAACTGGGCAGTAACTATCGCGCCCTCCTCATTCGGCTGTACACACTCACGCCGAACCGTGAAACGTTCCAGTGTCCAACACTGACTTTAAGGTTTTAGCTTCTAGTTCTGTTGCATCCGATCTGCGTATTTTGGAATCCTTGTATATTTTTAAAGAGAGGCCTAATTTAAATGCAGCCTTTAGTTCTGACCTACTAGAAATTGTGAATAGATAAGTATTTACTTTATTACTCTGCCCTTTGCCTGTAAATTTAGGTTTTTAACTTCTGTATTTTTTTATCAAAACTTTATTTACATTGAATTGTATTTGTGTTCTAGATTTATCGAACTGACAATGGAGCTGGACTCCGAAACGTTTTCAATAGATTAGTTGAATTTTTGTGGAGTTTTTTTCGCTTTCGAATTTCTAAAAAATCGCCGTTAAACCGCCTCATCGGCGTTCTAATGGCCAGCCGGCAAATGAACATGAACACCGTATGGCTGTTTTCTTCACATTTAACACTAGAAACCAGTACATCTGAAAAACGGAAAAACGGTTTGTTTTCATCGCCCACTAGAACGCTGGTGAGACAGTTTTTTTACCGTTTTTTTATAATAGTAAACATCTGCGCAATGGGGGAGCGCAGCCGTGGGTAACAAAATTGACTCGTAAATAGGCCCTGGGCCCAACGCCAACCATCAGCATGCAATATCTACGCATAGCCTCAGATCAATGAGCTGTGTGTAAGTGACTCATATCACCAAACCAACTTTAAGTCAGCGCTGCCTTACTCCACAAACCTCTACATCCAATAGTCAATGGTAATCTGGCTCTGCTCAACAGATTTTTACTCCACACCTTTCCTTCTTACTCGTGCCGCAAGTCTCAACAGCCGTCGACCACTCCGGCTAACAGTAAATCCGCTTTGCACATCACAGCCACTGCTTTACAGCGCCGGAGCACAACTGGCCGGAGCGCAACAGGCCCTACCTACAACGCCTTACGTTAGGTTAGGTTAGGTTAGGAGTGGGGCCGGGGTAAGGCGTTGTAGGTAGGGCCTGCTGCGCTCCGGCCAGTTGTGCTCCGGCGCTGTGAAACAGTGCCTGTGACTGAACGGCGCTGTTGTGGTGGGCGCGCTGTGTCGAAAGCCGTGAAGATGCCCGGCTGCGTGAAGTACAGCCACGCTGCAGTTTGGCGCTCTGACCACGGCTGTTGTTGCAATGGCTTGATGCTATTTGGCCTATTTACTCACTTCCACGAAGGGAATTGGCCACTATGGCTTTCGGCACATTATAGTGCAGGCTACTATGCCCTCAGGCATGATCGATTACGCTCGGGAAGGTATATGAATCGCACTGTGGACTTGGGCTATGCTGACCTCTAGCTATCCCCCCGCAATGGCTATTCACCGTCTTTCATTTTAATCGCGCTTTGCAAGATAACTTGGATAATACCTTCAAATGAATAATTTTATCCGTATATTTATAGAAGTTAGCATCTATTTCCTCCACAATTATATTCAGAATAATTATCAAAAAGTTTAGCGAAAATTTACATGTTCACACACGAATAGTAACAATTAATAGACAGAAAGTCGCATCTGATCTTGCATTTAATCCGATTCTCATTCATGTTTTTGTATGGACACAATCTTGCTGAACGAGGGCATGACATTTTTTAAAGAAGTTTAATCATTTCCCAGTGAGTGCACGACCGTGATAAATACTCTTACTTGTTTTCAAAGCACGTGTCGAATTTCAATCAAAGAAAAACATCAGATTTGGGTGATATGCGAACCTTAATTTTATTTTCAAATTACTAAAATGAATGTTTGTGCTGCCATTTAACAATTAATTTTAGACCGCCAAATATGACTAACCGTATCTAGCACGTATAAGTTCCCATTCACTGGCCAGTAAATGTTCAGTGTGTGACATTGATGTGAAGTGTTTTTTAAACAACTCGAGATGTTCAATTAATGTCCTGATGTTCAATTAGCCCAGAAACTTTGAAAAAAATGTTGTCACTTTCAAAGTGTCACTTGCAAAGCTTTGTCACGTTCACTCTTTACCATGATGGAAATTCACAGTTGCATGCGGAATTATGATGTGATCGCTGAGAAAGAAGCAGGACGATGGAGCAGCAAAAGAGCTACGCACAAATTAAAGGGAAGAGTAGGAATGAGTATAATGATTGTAAGAAGACTTTGTAGCATCATATGACCACTAAATTTTCAGAGCAGTGTGGTTAAACAGTGATAATAGCTTATAACAACGAATTACGCTATAGATGTACGTAAAATTAAAATCAAGTGAATGGAATACAAGTGAATAATACAATATTATTATTATTTAACTAATACCTTTGCCTTTGAGAGTGCCGTGTCCGAGATGAAGGTGAAAGAGAGATGCGTTTTGAAAATTCGCGGTCTCTCCGCGGCCCTTGCGATGTTGATGAACACGCCCTTGTTGGGATCCTTGCCCTGTTCCTTCGTTAGCTCAGCAAAACCTCCTTTCTGGTCGAGGCTTAGCCCTTCAGCAAGAATGTCAGCTCTGGAGGAACATGGGACTTTCAGTTCACTTCCTTGCTACAATAAGCTATTACATATTTCGGTCGGATATCACGAAAATTATACATTTTGGTGTCATAACTGATCCATTGCACTAAAAATCGGTGCTACAATAAATATTCAAGTCCAATCATATTCCTTGTCGGATATATTTTCAAATTAACTAACTCCTCACTCCTCAGTAACCAGATGCATGTTCCCCGTGTGATACATCATTAAAGTTACCAGTTCCCATACAGCTGTGTGTCGCTTGCTCTTTGTTAGACGGCTACGTGTACCATTCTCCGCTGTAATTTTCAGCTCGATAGAACGAGTATGATGGGTCTTTAAAGTTATTTTTTGGAAATTTGGCAACGATGTGAAGAAATTCCAGCTAATATCGTCATACTAAAATACCGAGCTCAAGCTTTACTCGAGAACGGGAGATCGCACGTGGAGAGGAAGACTGCTAGCCGGGTTATCGAGGTTGGGGTTCTTCCTCATGGTCCAGACGGCCTCTTGAGTCCAAGTGGTGCCTGCTTTCGGCACAGTCATCACTAGGACGTCATTCTCTTCGAACTGCGAGCAAATTATGAGTAGCCCTTGATCATCTTCATTTGTACGTATGCGATTTCACCAAAATCGCAAGTTCTATATTTTCATTGAAAAAGGCCAGTCATTTCAACAATAACATTTGTTCTCCACATGTTATAAACCTTCAATTGTGTGCTTAGAAAAATGCTTAACTCTGGGTTGAGTGGGTCAGTCAGTTGAAATTTTTAAAATTTTTGCCTATATCAGCTGCACCCACGGAATAATGAATGAAAGAACCATAGAATGAACATAAACAAACCTCAAAATCCTTAATTTCCTGGCAATATTTCTTCATGGCCTGCGGGAGGTACCAGCCGTCAGGCTGCAGAGTGAAAGCCCCCCGTGTAGTGTCCTGTGAAAAGCTTTTCGATCTCAAGCTGACAAGGCGTCAACTCCACGATCTTTTGACCCGTCGGCAGCGCCATCTTCCTGAAAAATTATGAAATGACTGAGAAAATTGTGTTTTATTTGCTAATTCATACACATTTTTGAATCACCATACGGCACTACAAAAATCCGCAATGTTGTCATGTAAGACGGCGAGGCAACTCCAAGTGTTGCACAGGCAGAAGGCTGATTTGAGCGTCGGAAATTCTGACTTGAGTTATAGATACTGTGGAGAACGTTGTTCTATGGTGAATTAATTAATGACTTGAGTTATGAAAGATAATTCAAGTTAGAGTGAACATAACATAACATAGTGATGTCGGCTCTGAAGTGTAGGCCTGATGTGGCCTGTCGCCGATTCTTTTCCTTGCGCTACAGTGAAGCTAACCACTGAGCTACAGTGAAGCTAGCCACTGCGATACAGTGAAGCTAACCACTGCACTACAGTGAAGCTAACCACTGCACTACAGTGACGATAACCACTGCACTACAGTGACGATAACCACTGCGCTACAGTGAAGCTAGCCACTGCGCTAGTTGCACTCACCTGATCTGAAGAAGCCGCCTTCCGTTTTAGCAATAAGCAGGTCAAAGAAGATCGCCTCATCGCCTTTATTGATGACGTGGTCGTCGCGCTTCTTCATTTCCGGGAAACTCGTGTGGTGAACAATCTGGATGTGAAAAAGAATATGAACGGTAATGTTTGATTTACAGACGAATTAATGAACTTAATTTGCGGAGATTGACGTTCATTTGATAACAAATAAATACATTCATTCTTTCCAATCTGTTTTGTTAAGAGCGTAGTAAGAGGCAAATACATTTCCATCTACAGGACTTCTGTTAGAACTTGACTAATTTATATTGTATAGGGAATGCAGGTTCGTAGCTTAAAATCAACACATGCTATTACATGCCAACAATATTAAAATCTAACTAACTATTTCAAATCCACATTACTATTACATAATTGCTAGCGTAATTAAGCTACATAAATTCGGAAACTCGGCTCCATCAGGATTAATATTTCTATAAACACTATTTTTTGTCAGACATATCCTATATTATTATAAATTCATGGTCAGAAAATAGCCAAAACGTTTGGAACGAATTATCAATTCCCTGTACTAATGTAATCGTAATTCGCTTGCCGATTGTCCTTAGCTAAATGCAGAATATTGCAAGTCATCTTCAGTCATGATATGTAATTTAAATAGTCCACATAGAGTAAATTCTAGCTAGAAAATGTATTGTTCGCTTATTTGTACAGCTGCAACCTTGAAATGATTATAAATTTCAAGATGAGGTCCTGGAGTTTCAAAATTCTTTTTTACCGCTTCGTATTATTTACAATCTCAGAATATCATGAGTGGTATTTTTTTCAATATTCATGGTATCTTATCTTGTCACCAGAAAAGCATGAAAAATTTGAGAGCGAAGATCGTTGGGAATAAAATATTCTAATATTCCTTTAACAATATACTGCACTGTTGTTGAAAATCTGGATTTTTCCACTTTTCACTGCTGTATAAACTTTATTTAGTGTTCCCGGCTGATTTCTTTTGCTGAAGCTGGAGATGGATGGATTCCAAACACGCATCGCTAATACAACTTTAACTGCAAAAATAATCGCTAATTTCAAATTCATCCCTAAAAATTGTGAGCCCGTAATCAATCGATGAAAAGGCTGTTATGAAATTTCACTGAATTTACATGTTGAAGATTTTAAAGCAGCACTCCGCTTTGACTTGGGTACTTTTTGAACTTTCTTACGTTCCGAAACATTAAATAAATCCATGTACACTTGTACATTACATTAATGCGTGATAGAAAATACTACAATATTCAGTACGTGTTCCAAGATTTGAGATGTCATGTATGGATGGTAGGATAGCGGACCTCCAATAGCTAATGCTAATCGATTTCCTTCGTAATTGCGATAAGTTTAGAAAGTGGAACACTCGAAACTGTCTATCAGAACCATGCACATTGTCATTCAGACTTGATGAGAGTAGGAATTACGACTTAATTAGGGTGGGATTTGTGAGAGAATGCGAATAGCAAGATTTAAAGCGAAGCGGTTGTCCCTGTTGATGGGAAAAACCTTGTGTCGTTTAGGGTATAATCAAACAGCTCAACGGAACGACCGCGTTTATCTACCAGATTCAAAAGACGGCCGAGAAGATTGGGAGACGCTGAAAGCAGATCGCGGAAACTACAACGTGACCGATTCAAGTTTAACGACGTTCTTCTAGACGGCTTGCGTTGATCAACAAATGATGAGTGAATTACTCGACAGTCCACGTTCCAGCTTCGTTTCGACTTAGCCGTTTTTTCGGATCTCCAGTTCCGGGATTTGACTCCACCGAAGGTCGAGAGTCAGAAGCATTAAGTACACCATCGAAGAGACGCCAACACTTGGTCTCATCACTACGGCCAATACGAGGATACACATACGGATCCACTAATAACTACAGCGAAACAAGTAACAGAGAAGTCTACCAGCCCACGTCTCCGTCCCAAAACCCGGTGAAGTACCCATTAGGAATTTAATGGAGGCAGAGCTGTTATTTGCTTTACCATTTTCATCTAATTATGATTATTGATCGATTTTGTAAGTGACGATAATCAGTGTTATTGACTAAAATGCTGTTTAATTCATGTACCTAGGCCTCTAGACGATTTATTATGCACGTGTAGTAGATGTACGTATCGGTGATCCAGCTCTATCGCGGCCTCATTGCCAGAGGCTGCAGATGGTTCGGCGAATGAAATACAGATTTCTTAGTCTTACTGTACTTCTTATTTTCAGTCCATCTTCACATGACGTGCTTATTTTCGATTTCTCTACGTGTCACATCGTTGTTTATCCTGGCAACAGGGATCGACGCTTCTCTAACCGCAAAAATTTCTAAATCACCCGGAACGCGACTGTCCGTGTACGCGGATACTAAAAAAAAACATTAAAACTAAAACTAATGATAATGCTAATGCTGGGATTTATTCCAGCACACTCCCCGCTCGAAAATCCAGTACAGTAAAGGGGGGATGCAGGAGGATCATTCGCCGAAAGTTTCCAGGGGTGCCGACGCGGATTGTGGCTGTTCGTTTGGATTAGCAAAGGCAATCGGTGTTTGCCTCACTGCTGGATATTTATGCATTGCGGTTGCATGAGGGTGCTTGCATTTGTCACACTTTGGATTTTTATTGTAGTCAGATTGTCTGTGTTTCCCGAGGCATCGGAAACAAAGACCATTCAGAAGAAGTATCTTTCGTCCATCTTCAAACGGTTTATTCGCAAAAATCTTGCAGTCTTTCAGGGGATGCGCTGCAGAAAGGTGAAGCACACATACGTCTCTTCCACCGGGGTCGTGAACTAATGTTTTGGGTACAGGTTTGGTTTTTGTAGCGTCGGTTCCTACGTCTCGCACCCTGTGCAGTTCGTGCCTTTTTACTTCGCCGAATTCAGGGGGGCAGTAACCGTGAGGCACTGCAAACACAGAGGTTGTAACTAAGTTCATTTTCCAGTTTTTCCAAGATTCCAGGTGATCTGGGGGCAATGAATTGTCCCAGTCGTTCGAAGGAGGTTGGTCGGTGTGTTGTTTTGTCGAGATGATGGCGCGTTGATTTAGTCGTCCAGTAAGAACAATTGGACTTGCAAATCCTAGCGGGTCGAAAATCGAGTTGATNACCTTGCCGGTGTCCAGGGTAAGTAGCCGACTCACGGGGAGTTCAGGTGTGCCAGGTTACAGGTTCGAAACAGAACCTTGCCGGTGTCCAGGGTATGTTGCTGACTCGCAGGGAGTTCAGGCTTGCCAGGTTACAGGTTCAAAACGGAACCTTGCCAGTGTCCAAGGTAAGTTGCTGACTCGCAGGGAGTTCAGGCTTGCCAGGTTACAGGTTCAAAACGGAACCTTGCCGGTGTCCAGGGTAAGTTGCCGACTCGCAGGGAGTTCGGGCTTGCCAGGTTACAGGTTGAAAACAAAACCTTGCCGGTGTCCAGGGTAAGTTGAGGTTCAGGTTGGCCAGGTTGGCGACAAGTAGATTGAAATAAGCACTTGCCGGCGTCCACGGCAAGTCAGGGTTCAGGTTGGCCAGGTTGACGACAAATAGATAGAAATAAGCACTTGCCAGCGTCCAGAGTAAGTTGCAGAGTTCAGGTTTACCGGGTTGACAACAGGTAGATGAAAATAAGCACTGACGCGGCCTAAATAATTTCTAAGTCACCCGGAACGCCAATTTGACAATCTAATTTGATGCCAAAATTTCTAAATCACCCGGAACGCGACTGTCCGTGTACGCGGATACTAAAAAAATACTAAAAGTAATAATAATGCTAATGCAGGGATTTATCCCAGCACAAGCTCTGTATAATAGGTGTATGATTTTCTCCTTAATATAGGAAGCCTAATCTTTCCATGTGTTGTTATTATTTCTTTTGTTGATTCGCGACTGCTGGGTAAATAACTTATGTAAGAGCCTAAATTGTAACCACCGCGACCAAACCAACCTGCCAAATCTATCGAGTTACTCTAGAGAGAAATATCGAAATAATAACAACAAACGGCAAATCCCCGTCTCTCTTTATATAACTACGCACCAAAACTTTATTCAGACTCACATTTTAAAATATTTTTGCGGTGAAAGGGTGCAAAGCTTTAAGTTAACTTGAATGGTATTCATGGTTAGGAATATCTCTGCCCACCTTGTCAATTTGTTCCTCGTTCAGGTCGACACCCAGAAACTTGCTGAGCTTCGTGAACTCCGCCTTCTGGTGCTTAAACCGGTAAACGTTGACTTTTTGAACACAGAGGTATGGAAACGGCCTTTAGATTTTGTAACATTACAATCAAGAAAAGATAAACTATTGTTGGTTTCAAGCTCCATGGTGAATTTTATTGACTGATGGAGGTTTAGATAATCAAAGAAAAGGGCCACATGAGAAGGATGCTTGAAAAGTAAAAAAGTATCATCGACATATCGGTTATAAAAAACAGGTTTAAAATCAAGAGGACAAGTGGCCAGCCATTTAGTCTCG